GTGTGTGTGTGTGTGTGTGTGAGAGAGAGAGAGAGAGAGAGAGAGAGAGAGAGAGAGAGAGACTTTTTCATCGATAGGATGACCAAAATCGAATGAATCTACCTCTAGAACATGGAAATATACATTCCCACTACTTGTTTGTTTGCGTGTGTGTGTGTGTGTGTGTGTGTGTGTGTGTGTGAGAGAGAGAGAGAGAGAGAGGTGCCCACCTTCATGGTTGCCCGCTGCCGTCTCCTGCTGCCCGCTGCCGCTCCCCGGCACTGCTTCGAGCCGTTCTTGTCCAGCCGCTGCCGTCCGTCGATGGTGCCCATCGTGTCTCTCCCTCCCTCCTTCGTCGCCCTCGCCGTGTCCCTCCCTCCTTGTCCCGCCGTGTCTCTCCCTTCCTCCTTCGTCTGCTGTGTCACTCCCTCCCTCCTTCCCGCCGCTGCTCAAACACCTTCCCGCCGCTACTCCAACATCTTCCTGCCGCTGCTCTAGCATCTTCCCGTCGGTGCCGTCCCCGTTTTCGAAAAAGATTTTTTAGGGGAAGGGCCTGCCGAATTCGAATTTTCGAATTCGGCAGGCCCTTCCCCCGAAAAAATTCGCAGGCGGGGCGCGGCCGGTTTGCCGAGTGGCGCTGCTCAATCGTCATTTTTGTCGGGGTGGGGGCCCGCCATCCTACCGAAAGCCCAAAAAAAAAAAAATTTCACTGATCCCTATTTATCGACGTGCGCGGCATGGCGGTGCGTTGTGCGGTGCTCGGCGCGACGTTTGCAAACCGGCGCACCGACGTGCGCCGCAACTATAATCTTGACATTTCAAGATCCTATTGAATCAATCGATTCAACGGGATCTTCGATCAATTGATTGATTGATTGATTGAAAAAAAAGCGGTAAGGGACATAGTCTTGATTGATTGATTCGATGGCCACAGTGGAAGGATGACACACATAAATGGAGACTGCGGCCGATCAATCAATCAACCAATCAATCGATTGATCGAAGATCCCATCGAATCGATTCATTCGATAGGATCTTGACGTATCTCAATTCGATGGGATCTTCGATCGATCGATTGATCGTATGAAGATCATATTGAATCAATCGATTGGAAGAGATCTTCGATCGATCGATGGATTGATCGATGGATCGATGGATTGATCGATTGATTGATCGATTGATTGATCGATTGGTGGACTGACTGATTGATCGATTGATCGATTGATCGATGGATTGATCGATTGATTGATCGATTGATTGATCGATTGATTGACGGACGGATGGACTGATGGACAGACGGACGGACTGAGGGACGGACGGAGGGACGGACGGAGGCACGGACAGACGGGCGGACGGACGGACCGACGGACCGACGGACGGACCGATGGACGGACCGACGGACGGACCGACGGACCGACGGACCGACGGACCGACGGACGGACGGACGGACGGACGGACGGACGGACGGACGGACGGACTGGCTGACTGGCTGGCTGGCTGACTGACTGACTGATTGATTGATTGATTGACTAACTGACTGACTGACTGACTGACTGACTGACTGAATGACTAACTGACTGGCTGCCTGCCTGCCTGTCTGTCTGCCTGCCTGCCTGCCTGCCTACCTGCCTGCCTGCCTGCCTGCCTACTGCCTGCCTGCCTGCCTGCCTGCCTGCCTGACTGACTGACTGACTGATTGACTGAACCAATAACAAAAAAAAGAGAAATCGGGTGCAGGAGGAGGCCGTTACCGATGGGCCCGAGAACGACGAGTTGGGGGACAAACTGAACAGGGCCTGGCGGGACGAGGAGGAAGCAGAGGAAGCGGGGGAGAAGGAGGTCATCGCGATGGAGAAGGATGAGGAGGAAGACTAAGAGGAGTACGACAGCGAAGAAAGAGGAGGAGGAGGAGGAGGAGGAGGAGAGGAAGGTGGACGAGGTGGACGAGGAGGAAGACGAAGAGGAGGACGACGATGGAGAAGGAGGAGGAGGAGGAGGAGGAGGCCCTGACGATGGAGGAGAAGGAGAAGGGGGAGCAGGAGGAGGAGGAGAAGGGGAAGGAGAAGGGGAAGGAGAAGGGGGAGGGGAAGGGGGAGGAGGAGGAGGAGGAGAAGGGGAAGGAGAAGGGGGAGGAGAAGGGGGAGGAGGAGGAGCATGAGGAGGAGGACGAAGAAGAAGAGGGTGAGGAGGAGGAGGACGATGACGAAGAAGGAGGAGAAGGAGGAGGAGGCCCCAACGATGGAGGAGGAGGACACCGAGGAGCAGGAGGAGGAGGAGGAGGACGAAGAAGAAGAGGGAGAGGAGGAGGAGGACGACGAAGAAGAAGGAGGAGGAGGAGGAGGCCTTGATGATGGAGGAGGGGGAGGACACGAAGGGGCAGAAGGAGGAGGAGGAGGACACAGAAGAAGAGGGCAATGAGGAGAAGGACGATGACGAAGAAGGAGGAGGAGGAGAAGGAGGCCCTAGTGATAGAGAAGGAGGAGGAAACAGAGAAGCACCAGGAGGAAGAGGACGACGAAAA